TGTTGATGCTAGAAAGCCAAAACCAGGAGGAACCACAATTAACGTAGGAAAAGGTGGAGTCCGTGTTAATACAGGAAAAGGAAAACCTTCAGGTGGAACAGCCGTGATTGTTGGAAAAGGCGGTGTCAATGTTAACACAGGAAAAGGAAGTGGAAAACCAGTTCATGTTTCAGTTGGAAATCGTTCTCCATTTCGGTACAATTATGCTGCAACTGAAACATAGTTACATGATGAACCTAATGTAGCACTTTTCTTCTTATAAAAGAATTTGCATTATGGAACAAAGTTGAACTTACAATTCACAAAAACAACCTCAAAGAGCGAAGCAATGTTCTTAACTAAAGAAGTTGCTGATTCAATCCCATTTTCATCAAACAAAGTAGATAGTATCCTTAATAAGTTCTCAATCAAAAAAGGCTCAGACGAAGCTGAAATTGTGGAGAACACGATAAATGAGTGCGAAGAAAACGGTATCCAAGGTGAAGAAAAGCTTTGTGTTAAATTATTGGAATCTATGGATGATTTCACTACTTCGAAACTTGGAAACAATGTTGAAGTTGTTTCAACAGAAGTGAAAAAAGACAGCAGTGAGTTAGAAGAATATGTAATAGCGAAAGGAGTGAAGAGATTGGGAGAGAAGAACAAAGTTGTGGTGTGTCACAAAGAGAATTATCCTTATGCAGTTTTTTACATCACAATTAAATTTCGAGAAAAACATCGGTGTTCTTTTACATGAACTAAATAAATTCCAGTACCAAACTTCTATAATTTGACATAACAGAGATATGTATAAGAAATAAATAATTTGAATAGAAATTTAAAAATAACACAAAAATAGTTCATGAGTATGAATGAATGAAATAAAGTTACCATTGTGAAGCAACATTGACAACAAGTAGAACCTTCCCACTGTATTCACTCAGACTTACATCATTTCCACTGATATCCTGCAATTATAAAACAAACAACAAATCAAACACCCTCTTGCAATTATAATAATAATAAAACAGAAATAACAACAATAGCAACAAAAATAGAAATTTAAATATCACAAAAATTAAAAGTTAGGGTTTAGGAATTACATAACTATGAATGAATAGTGCCTTCCAGAAATGTAGGGTGTCAGATTTACAATGAGGGGTTTGATTTCTCGGCAGTGAAGTGTATGATTTCTGGATTTTATGTAAAGGATTCGAGTTTGATGAATGGGTTTCTGGGTTCGTGAGAAGAGTTTAACAAAGGAGTTCATTTGTTGAATGAAAGGTTTGTTGTGAAGAAGAAGGGTTTATAGTGAGAGAAGGGTTTGAAGTGAAGATTGAATTTACGGCGGAGAGAAGAAGAATTTGCAAGGAAGTTGCGTGAAGAAGAGATTGAGAAGAAGAAAAAGGGATTGCATTTTTATGAATATGATTTATGAGTTTAATTTTTTTCTGATCTTAATTTTTATGAAGGGTATTCGATTCCTGTAGAGTACACATTAGAATTTAATTTGTTAAAATTAAATAAAACGTCTTAGGTCACGTGTGCAATACCTGATTTAATAAATATGTTTTTTAAGTCAGTTAGTGAACACAGACGACTTAAGAAATTTAATACGAATTATATTTTTTTTCTTTAATTTTTTTAAGTTAGTTCTAAATGTAATTGACCTAACAATATTACAAATATTTATGAAATTTCCACCGCATCACTTCTTAAGTCAGGTGGCAGGTGAACTGACTTAACAACCTCTACTATAAAGCATTTTTTCTACTAGTGAATCCCTAATCATTGAAATACGCTCTTCAATAAGAACTAACTCATACTCAAATGGGAAATTCCACTTCCACTTTAACTCCAAAACTTAAACCTCTCCCTCCCACCTACCCACCTCCCTAACGATATGGTTACCTTCATCATAAATATAAAAGTGTATCATAAATCTAACTAAAAGAGGAGACTCCATAATCCTAAGGTCTTTCCAAAAAGAGGTGAGGAGACTAAATCATACTCTCAACTATAGGTCATCCATAAACCAATCAGAGGGGTCCTCATCTTTCCCTTCAAGAAGAGACACACCTCTCCATAAGGACGATAATAATTGGAGACAAGCAAGCTCTCCTAACTTTTTAGTCTTGCACACATCAACCTACCTAACCCAATCATTCTTTGAAACACCTTTTAAACTACTCCAAAAAATATTCATTTGAATCTTCACTCGCTATAAGAAATAGTACATTTCATGACTAAAATTTCACCTTAGTCAAAGAAAAACTGAGGTCAAATGACTTGGAACGCGCCATTTATTTTAGAATAAGTTTTATCAATCAGTTTTGTAGAAAAACCAACATAAAATGTAGCTTAAGGTTTGGGCTTTGATTTCTAACTTATGCAATTTTATGTTTTATATAGAACCAAAACGCCAACCTTATTTTATAAATCATCTTTACCTTCAGTTTTCTAGAAAATGAAGTTTTTGATATTGAAGTTTGGAGTTGATTTTAAAGATTGAATTTTGAATGTTGTTGTTGAGATCAATAATTTAAAGATTTAATGTTGTTATTGTTGATTATCCTAATTAGTTTCAAATGTTGTTCAAATTATAGGTGTTTAATGATTGGTTATAAATCACAAAAGAGAACTTTTGGACGGCCTACAAGAATTTTCATTTTTGTTATTATTTTTGTTGGCTAATGTTTTATTTTTGTTGTAAAATTAGAAGGTGTGTGTCATTTTGCCTTTGCAAATTGTGTAAACAATAAATATTTTTGTTACAATATTTCAGTTTGAGAAATAGACAAAGGGTACAATATTTCAATTTCATAGATGGGTAAAAAATGATCTGTAATACATATTAAAATGAAAAAAATATAGAAAAACGAAAAAATTAATGTAATGTATGCTTAATTGCATAAAAAAGGTTTAAACAAATTATGTTTTATTTTTGAAAAATGTTTAAGTTATGTCGGTCAAAACTTCCATTATCAACGACAAAAAAACGCCTTTTTATTCAATATATATTATGACATGAAAAACTTTATTCAAAATTAGTGTTTTTCAGCATTTTCGTTAATTGTGACAGTTTCAACCGCCATAACAGTACATATTAACCCCCACAATTTTCATATTCTTTTATAAAAGAAGGCAAAATTTTGGGCCGAGCCCGGACACATGCCCAGCCTGATCGGGCCTTGAAATCGCACGTGGACCACGTTCCATAACTTCTTATATGTTGATTCTTGCTTCTATTATGAAATTCATCATAAAAAAGTGACAAAACTGTATCACAATTTTTACCAAAACAAGTAAAAGGAAAACCTTGAGCAGTGGAATGTCACAAATGAAAAGAAGCAACAATGTGAGAAAGATTGATAAGATGACTACCATCATTCAGATTTCTTTGGTATAAGGTTAGTTGCCACGAAAATTCCCAATCAAATAAACATATAAGTTCAATATCCATGAAGCTTGATTAATATTTTAGACTATTTTTTAATAAAATAAAAAATGTATTAGATAATTGAAACATCTTTTAACAAAAAATACCACACAATGTAACAAGTCATATGATTAGATAATTGTCCAGATAATTTATAAGAATAATATATCTCAGATGCATCAAATTTGTACAAGAGAATTCATTTACAAACTCATTATAGTATGATTTCTACAAAATCAACTACAAAAGATTTTTTTCCATTTCAAAGAAAAGTGGTTTCTTAACTATCCCATAGGCAAAAGGATTTACTTTTATGAATCGTTATGCTAACTACTGACAACTAAATATGTTTAACTCATCTCTGATATGTTTTCTTCATCATAGAAAATATATTCTTTTGCGTCGTATTTTTTATTTGGTAGAAAATACTATGATAGTGTTTTTTTTATTTGCAATAGCTTGTAACCAAAGACTCTCTAATAGAGTTTATATAGAAAGCTCTATCATATATGTCGCTCTATAATAGCATCCAATTAAAAAGCACAACAATAATAATATATCTCTGTGTAAGAATTTTGATAGCACTTTAACAAAAAATATTATTAATTTTGTGCTATTATATGTCAAAAATATAGAAATGAATGTTAAATGCAGAATATTCTTTATGTCTTTTACATTAATTTATTTATGATATAAAACAAAACAAAATTAAATAAATAAAATAAATATTCGGTTATATGATTATTTAAGAACACAAAACTTAAACAAAAATAATTTTCTACTATTACAATTCATCTTAGAGAAATTTTTTTAATCAAAATAAATATTTTTTACATTTGAAAGTTTTCATGTTTCATTATCAATTTTTAATATTTAGAATGCTTTTATAATGAGGAATTTAGATTTCACACGAACCATTAATGACATTGTGTTGAGCGTTGATACTCATTAAATAAATGACAAATATTTGTTTAACGATAGTGAAAAAGTGAATCAACACACTTATATTTTAATTCGGTTATTACTTAAAACTGATGTAAAATATGTTTCTTTTTAAACAAAAAATACAATAAAATATCTTCAATCGATCCCAAGTTTCACATACCTCTCGGTTTTTGTAAAAAAAAAAAGACATATTTTTTTAAATTAAATTTTTTTATACAGAATATTAAAATAAATTGGTTTAACAAATCCAAATTTTAACTATGGATTGTTGGAGGAATAGATCATTCATTTAAAAATTAAAAATAAAATAAAAAAAAAATAAAAACGTAAGTATATATATAGTTTTGTTAGAGGTGTGGAAAAAGAAAACATTTGTTATTCAATAAGAAATATAGATGCACCTAAAGTAATTTTTTCTACTGTTATGAGAAATGTAACTTTTTCATTAATTATGATAGAATGATACAAAGTGACTTATATAGCAACGTAGGATTGGATTGGTGGAGCGTCTCTACACTTCCATAACTTCTAACAACCTCTAACTATCCGTAACAAACTATTTTAGCATCCTAACCAACTAACTTGAATAACTTTAGTAGTTTGTTGTGTAACAAGTTAGTTTCTTCTAATTAACTTGTTACTTACATGTATGGTGTAATAGTTGCACATAAATAAATTGATTGTAATATTGTAAATTACCATTATTATTGCCTCTAACTGTACCTTGATTGGCAACTAGTGATCGTTCACTTTGGCTGGTGTAATGAACATGTGGTGGTGAAAGGTTTTGATATTCATGTTGTGGTGGTGCACTAAGTGAATTTGGTGGTGCACGTAGTGGACTTGGCTGTACACGTAATGGCTGTGCACCGAGTGGTGGTGGCAGAAAGTTTTGAAATTCAGGTTTTGGAGGTCGTGAGGGTTGTGGTGCGCTAACTGGATTTTGTAGCGCACATATTGCACTAAATTGATTTTGTAGTTCATGTAGTCTAATTTGTTGTACAACTTGTGAAGGCTCTAAATCAAACACATCAAGGTTGGGGTCAGGCTCGGTCTCATACATCTGTCTTTGAGTTTCATACATCTGTCTTTGTGTTAAATTCGAATGATTTTTCTTTGCACGTCTCATTCTTTGAGATAAATCTTGTTGTCGTGAAAACTCGTTATCAGACAGATCAAGGCCAGGGACACCCTCGGTCTCATACTTCTGTCTTTGAGTTTCAACACTGGTATTTGGTGGTGCACGTAGTGCTGCACTTTGTGTTAAACTCCAATGATTTTCCTTTGCACGTCTCATTCTTTGAGATAAATCTTGTTGTTGTGAAAGCTCGTTATCAGACAAATCAAGGTCAGGTACATGCTCGGTCTCTAACTTCTGTCTTTGAGTTTCAACACTGGTATTTGGTGGTGCATGTAGTGCTGCACTTTGTGTTAAACTCAAATGATTTTTCTTTGCAAGTCTCATTCTTTGATATAAATCATGTTTTCGTGAAAGCTCATCGGTTAAATACCCTCCATTTGACATCTTGCAACACACTCCCTTGTTCTACAAACTTGTTAAATCAGCCAAAGCAACGAGAGTGATGAACAGGAACCTCGCCAATATCTACGGTTACTGGGAATACTGTTTCCATTTAAAGAACGTTGGTATTGTTACCTATCTGCAATTTTACATTGAGTAACAGAAGACACTTGAAAAAACATAAAATTATAAATAGAACATTGTCTGTCTATAGTAAACTAAACTTCCTATTTTTTCCAGTAGCGTTGTTGGATATTAATATAGCATCTAAGAGAAGTGTTATTCTTACGCAGTATTATTTAATTATCGCATAGTATCTAATTCTCCACCATTAAATAAAACATCTAATTCCCCTTTAAAAGTATTTGTTTATAGCATCTAGTTCTTGTATTTTTCAAAAACAAAATTATATTAAATCTAGAAGAGTGCAAAGAGTTTAAGAAGTACTCGGGAGTACTTAAAATTGAACCAAAATCAAAACTGAAAGAGTGGAAAAAGAAAACTAAAATTAAAAACTAATGGGAAAAAATAAACCACTAACAAGAAAACCGAATACCAAGGAGTAAAATCCCTTGAAACTTAACTTAGAATATGTTTGACTTAATGAAATAGAATGGAACGGATGAAACATAATGATATAAAGTTACGTTCATTATTTGGAGATGAAATTGAGTTGAACGGGATGGAATGCATTCCATCTTATTCTATCACTTTTCATATTTTTTATACCTTCTGTAAAATATTGGATCGAACTCTAGTATAATCGAAATTTGTTCGCGAGTAATGTGTGTTGTAGTCGAAGTTTGTTCTAACATGCATTAGTCAATATTGCTAGGTTGTTAGCATGTTAAATTGAGTCTTCCTTGTAAGCCTTATTGACTGGAGTCAGATATGTTTTCTTTGTTAACCCTAACCCTTGTGTGTTTCTTGAATATAAAGAAACTGTTTATACTTTGTTTCAAGGCATCTGATTCACAACAAATTGGTGCGGTGAGCGTGGAGAAGATGTCTTCAACAAAGCATGAGATTGAAATGTTCACCAGAGTGAACGACTTCGGTCTGTGGCGCTTGAAGATGAAAGCCCTACTGGTTCAGTAGGGTTGTTTGAAAGCGTTGAAGGGAGAGGCAGCCATGGACGTTGTGTTAACGACAAAAGAAAAGACGGTCATGATTGAGAAAGCCCGCAGCGCAATATTATTGAGCCTAGGTGATAAGGTTCTTCGACAAGTATCAAAGGAGACTACAACATCAGGATTATGGATGAAACTTGAAAGTTTGTACATGACCAAATCTCAGTGACTCGACTCTACCTGAAGCAAACTTTGTATTCATTCAAGATGAGTGAAGACAAAGTGTTGGCTAAGCAGTTAGATATGTCCAACAAGATGATTCTTGATCTTGAGAATATTGATGTGAAGATCGATGATGAAGATCAAGCACTGTTGTTGTGTGCTTTGCCCAGAACACATGGTCACTTCAAAGAAACTCTCTTGCATGTAAGGTGTAACACCCTTTTAAACCCCACGGAAAAATATATGAATAATCAGAGTAAATTTTCATGCATTTACAAAAGGGTGTCACACATCGCTTTGCAAAACATTAAAACATCTGTCATGCTCGCTAACACTTCAATAAATATTCATGCTTTTCAAAGTTTCACTTTGCATGTAGCAGCGGATTCAATTATATTACAATTTCGTAAAAGAAACATTTGTGTTTATCACATAAATCAACATCACTTGAGCACTGAGGTCAACATCATATTATTTTGATAAATATGAAAACATAGTGTATCTCTAAAACATAAACCAAGCGATCTCAGTGTTACATGACCAGAGCATGACTCGACCCAGCATAATTAAATTACTAAATAACTACACCAATAGCGACCTCGTAACTACGAGCAGTACTACTCCTTGATACCTGCACGATGTCATGTAGGACATCATTCCAGCAGAAGGGTGAGAAATATTATCATAATAACAATGCATATAATCATATATATATATATATATATATATATATATATATATATATATATATATATATATATATATATATATATATATATATATATACACACACACACACACACACAAGCATAGAATACACATATTCCACATTTTCTCACCACAATTCATTATAATCATCATATACCTCACAATGTATATATAAACCAATATGGATAATCATCAAGCATATTCATCATGCACACATTCATAATTCTCATCATTCCACATAAACATGTTCATATTATGCTTATTCACCAATTCACAATTACACATTCACAACTCTCAAATCAACAATTTATACTCATAAGCATACTTCCATACAACAATCATGTATTCACAACTCTCAATTACACAAGTCATGCACATACGCATAATTTCATACAACAATCACATATGCCATGTGACTCAATGCAACTCAATACAACTCATGCCATGTGGTACCAACACTTGTTATCATTTTTCGGTTTTTACATTTAAACCGGGTCCGTTCCCTAGACCGATAACAACAAAAGCCCGTCCTCTAAGCTTTCAAATCCACCCTTCTAGGTTTGGGACAAGTCACTAGTCTCCATGAAACTAGCAAGCATTTCCTCTTGACTAAATGACGCGTATGCAATCAACCACCAAATGTTGTTGCACCCTAAAATTTGCTCAACTTTTTCATCACTTGGTTTATGTTTCATTTGCATAGCATAGCATATTTCTAACATAGTCCTAGCATTTGCATCATCCATTGTGCAGGGGATCAAGAGTGAGATATGAAAGAAGAGAGCCTAACCAGAGATTCATACAAGCTAGAGAGGCTATCAAGATCATCAGTCAAAGGGTGGTGTCCTTGAAGAGTATGATTACTTGTATAGAGTTCATCTCCTAAAGAGAAGCTGATTGAAGAGCATAGGAGAGGTTTGTGAAGTCATGATTATGGATATGGTGTGTGAACAAAGCTCATAGAGTCTCTAGAAGGCCAAAAAGAAGCTAAATCAAGTCATTGTATCAAGCCCAAGAGCCATAGTTGAGGTAGGTGCATCTAGGGTTTCATTTTAGCAATCCTAGGTCAAGTTGAGCAATTAAAGAGGATCAAGGCCTATCTCTAGGTCATTGAAGTCATGAAATGATATGTTGAAGCACTTGTGGTGTTATGCCAAAAGTAAATCAAGAAGATTCAAGAGTGGATGGAGTTGCTAAATCAGGGTTCTTAGGGTAAAATCCCCTGTTTAGTGTTGAGCTTCCAAGCTATGTAAGTCAAGATGCAAGCTTCAAATGACTTCGACCTCCACATTAATGTTGTATAGGATGTTTATAGCTTTAATTTGAGTACTAGAAGTCCTCAAGGGGATTTATAGAACTCAACTTTAGAGACACTTTCACTTGCTTGATCCCTAATTACATATACATATTTTTGGTATGGATTAATCATACTTTTTCTAAAATCCTTTTTATCAATAGCAAATGTAATTTTAGGCTCGAGTGCCTTGTTTAATTTGGCCTTGAGGTGTCTAACCTCACCTTGCCAAATATGACAAGTGCCACACCCGAAGTTGAAAGGGTTTCTATCGTCTTTACAATCCGATTCATTGCCTTTCACAATGGAAGCCTTTAGGTCCTCTAATTTCTTTTCGGACTCTTTAACCTTATGCTCTAAATACGTAAAGATTTTCTTATTAGAAGCAAGTTTCTTGAAGGCTTCAACTGCTTCATTATGTAAGGCATGAAATGCGGCTAGTAATTTTGAATGCGACATATTTGATGACTTATCATATTTAGAGTTACTTACCTGTTTTTTCTTATTTTTCTGATTGGCAGAGAGGCATAGATTCACGGACTCTTCTTCATCACTAGAACTTTCATCAGAGGAGGAAGAGTCGCTGTCACTTTCCCATGCTATGTACGCTCTCCTCGGCTTTGATGATTCCTTGTCCTTTCCCTTTTTATTCATTGGACAGTCCGGTTTGTAGTGACCGGGCTTTCCACACTTGTAGCACGTCCCTCTAGTCTTTTTACCTTTCGAGTCATCATCCTTGGAGTGTCTTGATTGTTTCCGGAAGTTTACCAAGTTCTTCTCGGAATGTTGTATGTCGTTCTTTCTTACGTAACGGTTATACCGTTTAACAAACAACCCCATATCTTCGCTTGTGTTTTCTTCTTCTTCGTCACTCGAGGAATAATCATTTTGCTCTTTTGCTTGAGACTTCGAGGAGGAAGTCTTGAGAGCTATCGATTTCTTTTCACTCACCTTCGCTTTGTCTTTCTTTTCCATCTTTTCACGTTGGTCTAAGCTCAAGAGTACCTGTTCATGCTCTTGCAATTTGCCAAACAATGTTGTCAACTCTAATATGGTAAGATCATTTGCCTCTTTGATGGCGGTCACTTTTGGCTGCCATTCCCTGTTAAGACATCTCAAGACTTTATTAGTAGCAACATCATTGGAAATAGGCCTACCTAATGAATGTAAACGATTGATGAGATGAGTAAATCTCTTTTGCATGTCGGCAATGGTTTCCCCTTGCTCCATGAAAAAGAGATCAAACTCTTGTATTAGAGTGTTGATTCTAGCTAACTTAACATCGGTTGTCCCCTCATGGGCTATTTATAGTGAATCCCACATGGCCTTAGCAGTAGGACAATGGGATACACGATAATATTCATCTACACCTAATGAGGAGATTAAGATGTTTTTAGCTTTCCAACATAATTGTATTTTTTCTCATCGTCATCGGTCCATTGTGCTTCAGGCTTTGGCACAACTACATTATCCGCATTGGTCATAGTAATTCTATTGGACCATTAAGGATAACGTTCCATATTTTTCTGTCTATGGAGTTTATATGCACACGCATACAGTCTTTCCAATAACTATAATTTTCACCGTTGAAAACAGGAGCCCTATTATACGCCCCTTTAGGTTCGTTTGCCATTTTCTATCTCGTTGTATTTGAAGCACCGAATAACCGGAGCTCTGGATACCACTTGTTAGACTATGGCACGGATCTA